TGGTATTGTAGATGCAGAGTGATATCTGATAACGACGATTTGCAGAAATACGAAACGATGCCGACGAAGAGAACCCGCTTATTCTGTAGAATAAAAGCATGTGTGAGCTGGCTGTTTGAAGATCTATGATTGGATGATTTTTTTAATTGACGTGGCATGCCTCTCCTTTGAGGATTAAGGGCTTTTAATATTGTTTGATTTGATATAGATACAGTCACATGAAATCTAGTATGATACGCAATGTAGCATATGGGGAGAGGAGCAGAAATCAACTAATCATGTTCGATTTAAACATCCACCAGTGATTCAAATGTAGACTTTGTCTAAAATTCCTTCTAACCATGTGAAATTTGTCTAAGATTCTATTCACTTTAATTTTCTGAAATTGAATTACCTATTCTGGAAACTTCCAAAGGATTATGATTTCAGTTATTTTTTTGTTGATAATGTGGTATATTAGAAAGAATAAAAATGATAAAATCTATAAGAATAAAAATGGAAATCCACAAGAGATTTTGTGACTCGCGAAAATGGAAAGAGTTTATGGACTGATGATAAGGAAAAAAAACGGGAATCAACGAGCTTTTACGTGTTTAGGAAAATTAAAAGAGCCTTGTGAGCTGATGCACAACTTAATGATTTACCAATTTTAGGGGAAAGTTATGATGCTCAGTTAAGCCAACTGATGCAAGATATAAGATGATATCTTGTGGATGGAGGTTGTGGAGAGAACAAGATATTTTTACAGGTTAATCATGGTTTTTCACCCATGATGCTCATCTGATAATATTACGAGAGCCATAAATATCCAACGAAACGTCAAATGTGAAGCTCTGATTTGATTTATGGAATGCATGAAGATCTTACAAATTTTGGAAGTACTGTATGCGACAGACTGTTTTCAACTAGTAACAATAGTGTTTACGCTAACATAAAGATCTGTTTTCATCAATTTCGATGATTTAGGAAATTTTTCTCTATTTCATAATCCGACATATTAATAGACCAAAACACACAATGGTGGGCAAGTTTGCACGACGCTTGGAAGATGCAGTTTATTATGGTTTATGTTAATTCTGTTACACCCTT